GTCCGGGGAGCGGTGCGAGTGGTGCGAAGTACCAATCTAGTGGTGACTAGCCTTTGGCTAGCTAAAGTTAGCCAAGTGGTAGGTAACTTATTAAATTATACATTATTCACACAATCCACTATATAAACAAGACTATTTTGTTGTAAACTTTCGATGTGAGACTCCTTTCCATATAAAAAAACACTTAAAATGGGCTTATCAACATATAGCCCTTTATTGGAGACTTTTCCAATTCACCCAAATTAATTGCAATGGCCCACATCATTAAATATTACATTTAATATTTTAAACCCAAATCAAATTCAATTAATTCCAACAATATATACTATGTTGTGCACTAGACCTAGCATTTGTTATGCTGTTGGTATGGTGAGTCGATATGAATCTAATTTTGGACCGGAACATTGGGTGGCTACAAAACATATCCTTAAGTACCTCCGAAGGACCACGAATCATATGCTAGTTTACTCATTACCGGATCTTGTTCTAGTGGGTTATACATATTCAGACTTCTAGGCTAATAAGAATCCTTACAAGTCTACATCATATCATTGTTTACACTTGGTGGTGGGGCTAGTATTTGGAGAAGTATCAAACAATCATGTATTATTGATTCCACCATGGAGGTTGAGTTTGTGGCAACTTGTGAAGTAGCTAAAGAAGTGGTGTGGCTAAAATAATTTCTAACAGACATCGAGGTAGTGTCTACATTTGCATAGCCCTTGACATTGTACTATGATAACAGTCGAGCAATGGCAAATGCTAAAGAGCTAAGGAGTCATCAGAAGGATAAACATATTGAATGAAAATATCATCTCTTGAGATAGATAATTAGTAGAAGAGATGTGATTGTTAGTAAAATTGCTGTTGAGGATAACCTCGCAGATCTATTTACCAAAAGTCTATCGACTAAGGATTTCCTATCAAGTCGGTGGTCAGACGACTGGCGCTAGCTAGGTGACTATCATCAGCTAGTTCATCTAATATCAACTAGTTCATGTGCCATCTACTACTGACACTTGTTGGGTTTGATAGCGTGCCAAACCCTTGTTGGATTTGGTCACATGTCAACGACTATAGGTGGGCAAAAATAAAACCAACCCATGAAATTGATTTTTTCTTAAAATTATGTTGGATGAATTTTTTTAGAAGAAAATGGGTTGGGTTATAGGTTGATCTATCAAAACTGATCAAACTTGCTCAACCCAACCCGCTCTATAAAAAAAAAAAAAAAAAAAAAAAAAAAAAAAAAAAAAAAAAAAAAAAAAAAAAAAAAAAAAAAAAAAAAAAAAAAAAAAAAAAAAAAAAAAAAAAAAATTAAAAAGTTGAAACCTCACTGCCCTAGTTTTCAAAGTTTTATCATTTCTCTCATATTTCATCTTTCTCTTTAGTCGTAAAGCTAAATGCCCCTCTCTCATTGTCTCTCGTTCAAGCCCATAATCACCGCCAACTCTGTTTGCATTTAAGCTTGACGCTAATCGTCAATCTTTTATTCCTTTTGGTACTCTTAACTTTAAATTTTAAGTTGATTATTCATTTATGTTTTGCAAATTTAGGTGTCACGCTTATTTTTTTCCTTTAAGCGTAATGATCATTTGTATAATATATGCATTTTTCTTCATGCATGATTACAAGTTTTTGTTAATGGTCAAAGCATTGTGGTCGATAGGTTTTTATTATCAAGCATATTTTTATGATTTTTTTATGTATAAACCAACCAATCCAATCCAACCTGACGGAAACTTGATTAAATTGGGCTGAATTGGTTTGAAACACATGAATAGGTTAGGTCGGTTTAGATCAAACTGACCATGTTGGGTTGGGTAAAAAACCGACCCAACCCTACTCATGCCCACCCCTACCATTGACTAGTTTGCCTAGTATCAACTAGTTCTCTTGTCAGACAATTGTTGGGTTTTATCACCTGCCATCAACCGGTTCACATAGCATCAACTAGTTCACCTAGAAAAGCCTTGTTGTATTTTTATTTTTCCCATCTATCATTCATTTTATGTGTGTGCGCTCGCGCGGCAAAGATAAACGTAGAGAGAGGAAGATGGGGGTAAAGGAAGAAGTCATTGGATGATCACGCATTTCCTTTATTTGCACGTCTGATTTATCTTGTTAAGAGCTTAACGTGTCCACCGTTTTTATGGATGGTCAACTGCAAGACTCTGTCTTAGTACTCTTGTTTGTTTTGACGATATGTTAAACAATTTTACCACTATATTTGAACGGGTTGAAACAATGTTACGTCGAATTATTATGTTGTTTCAATTTACAATCAGCAAAAGCATTTAGCAATACACTAAACAAAGACAACCTAGTTTCATTTCAAATAATATGCATGAGATAAAGGAGTGGGGCCGGGCTCGGGAAAATTTTGATTTTTTTTCTTCTTTTTTAATTTTCTGCATTGTTGTTTTTAACCCTCACAGTCACATATTTATATTAAAAGTCTTCAATTCTTTTTCAAAATTGTGTTTTCAACAAATATTTCTGTCAGCATAAACATTTTTGCTAGTTTGATAACGAGTGAGCAAATTAAAAACAAAAGAAAATTTTACTTAAAAGTTGGGCCACCACCAGGAAGTGGACGGAGTGCCAGTGAGTGAATTTTTACTCCAACGATACTGACCATCAATATTATAAACCGTCGAAACCAGGAAAAGAAGGAAAAAAAAGGTTGGAAACTTTGCCATGATTTACCCTATTTTTAAATTGTTGAAAATCTTTTGTATTCAAGTTAGGGTGGAACTTGAACAAAACATATAACTGATCAGAGCTACATCCCCAAGTAATATGTGTGCATTATTTCCAACATGACACAAATCACAACGTTTTTCACTCGGAATATTTGACGTACTGAAGAACAAATGAGATGACTGTCGAAAAGTGAAAATTTATCCCTTAGCGTATCTTAAACTTAATTTCTAGAGCAAGATGTTGTCCTTTTTCTAACATGAACGGTTGAAGAAACCAACACAATCAGGAGACAAAAAGAGAGAACAGTAAAGAGAAAATTCAGAAGTGAAGTGGAATGGAAGAAAAGTTTTGTTCATAGTCTAAGAATAAATGCCTCTCTGAAAGAAAATCTTCAAGGAGGAAGAAGTGGTTGAGAGAGGAATGGAGGAAGAGCAAATGATCAGTAAAGAATCTATTACACTGCAAAAAAACAATAAAAATAAAAATAAAAATAAAAAAATCACTAAATAGGAATAGTCACCATTTTGAAAATGCATCGCAAAATTCAGACAGGTTAAAAACAAATATTCGCTGAATTATCATTTTATTTCAAATTAGTCTCTGAAACAGCAATTACAAGGACAGCATAGAAAACAAAAATCTGGTTTTATACCAATATCTTTATATAAACTTGAGAACAAAAAATCTGGTTTTATACCAATATCTTTATATAAACTCACGTCAGTGTCCATCTTACATAATTTGCATTGCTTTTGAATTCGCATTTGCTCGTGGCATTTAACTGGAAAACAATGACAAGTAGGAATGTCTATCCTCCATGTAAGCATTTTTAGTTTGATAACACAGTAAACAAAATAAATGGTTCGGTATACAATTTGGAACAAAAGAAATTAGGTGGCTTACTTGAATTTTTGTTTAAAGCTTGACAGATATAAAATTTCGCTCAAAGTACATTACTAACAATATTTTTAGCCTATCAATATATTCCGTGATTCTAAAATTGATTAACTTGTTGGATCATAGTAGAAATAATTGATTTGAGGATTTGAAATACAAATCCAGGTACCATGTGTAAAACATTATGCTTTATTAAAGATAAAGGAGACGTGTTGATCAATTAATAACATGATCTCTCGTCACCAATACTTCTTCATTGCCTACTTAAAACCCATATTTTGAATGATACCATTGCACGTATTCTTGATTGCAATGGATGGCTCCTCAATATATAACAGCAGTGAACACTACACCAAAAATCATCATTTACAACACGTAAACGGTAACATTCGGTAGTTAAATGTTGCTAAAAGGGTCTACGGCAACATTTTAATAAGCGAATGTTGCCATTAATTAGCATAATTGAGCTTTGGCAACATTTTATAAGTAGATGTTGCTAATGCCGCTTTTCGCAACATTTAATTAACGTTGCAAAAAGTTTTAATTTTTGCAACGTTTATTAAACGTTGCAAAAAGTTAATTTTATAGCAACATTTGACGAACGTTGCTAAAACTCACCTTTTACAACGTTTGTTGGCTGTTGCAAAAAAATTCCCTTTTGCAACGTTTATTGAACGTTGCGAAAACTTCCCCCTTTCGCAACGTTCAATTAACGTTGCGAAATGTAGAAAAAAACCTCAACTTTCACCCCCAAGTCCCAACAGCCACTCACAAGTCTTACAAACAGAGTCTTCCATCTCCACGGTGCCCTAACCTATCTTCCATCTCTCTCTCTCGCCTACAGTCCCACGAGCTCCGATTCTCTCATTTTCTCACCAAATTGTCGATGCCTATTTGCTGATTTTTGAAAGTTTTAGCACTATTGTCGTTGAATATGGGGTGTGATTAATCTAGTGAAAGTAGGTATTTTTTCTCTTTCTTTCTTTCCATTTTTTTTTTCTTTTCATTTGGGTTGAATGAATTACATGTTCTGCAGGCGGTGGGTTCAGGGACGGTTTCTGGTCAGACTCTAGTGGCGGCGGCTCTGGAAAACGGATATTGCAGCTGATGCCAGCAGTGGTGAGATCAGGTAGGGTTGGAATTTGAGGTTTTTTTTTTTTTTGGTGTTTAAATTGGTTGACGATAAGTTGAGTTCTTTTAGATCATAGGTGCTATTGAGATCAGTTTTATGTGCGTATATTCATATAAATTGTTAGGGAAGGAATACTTTGGTGGATATATGCTGCAATTTCAATACACAAAATCTATAATTTGCTGGTTCAGAGGCTGCCTTTTAGCCTTATTCTGTACTCGTGAAACTTTGGATACTTACACCTAGAGACATTTATTTATGCACGATGGAGGATATTCAAAACAGGCCTCATGAATTCATTCAGAAAATTTACCATTTGACCTTTTTGGGGCCAATAAGACTGATTTACCAACATCACCTAGGAATGCACACATCTCACTTAATTTTGCATTATCTCCTGGAAATTCCTATTTATATTTCAGCATCGGTGGGTGAAAATGTTGAGTTTTATTTAGCATTTTTGAAATGTTGTGGCACTCAATTTGTTTTAGTTTGTAATTTTTTTCTGGCATTTCCTGTGAAGTTAACTAAGTTTGTGCCAATAAGGTTTGGTTAATATCTTGTTAAATGAAAACATACCATGGTCATAAAACATAATTCTATTGTGTTTCTTTTTTCTCGACTCCTCGCTTTTCGATTGACAGAAAATAATACACTTCCGAGCTCATTTTATGAGATGAAAAAACTTGTTAATACATTCGATCTTGGCTATGAGAAGATACATGCATGCTATAATGATTGTTGTCTATATAGAAAGGAGCTTGAACATGCCGAGGTCTGTCCAAAATGTGGTTCCTCAAGATGGAAAGTTAACAAACGGACTAAGAAAATTGAAAAAAAAGTTCCTGCAAAAGTCTTACGTTATTTTCCGATAATACCAAGACTTAAGAGAATGTTTGGAATAGATGAGATGGCAACACAACTAAGATGGCACGCAAGTAATAAAAGTTCAGACGGCAAAATTAGGCATCCGGTTGATTCATTGAGTTGGGAAACAATTAATAGAAGGTGGCCACATTTTGCATCAGATCCTCGAAATATTAGATTAGGTCTTGCCACTGATGGATTTAATCCTTTCAAAGATCTAAGCTCTAAATACAGTTGTTGGCCAGTAATTCTAACTATATATAACTTGCCTCTCTCATTATGCATGTTAAAGGAAAGTCTAATGTTGAGTTTATTGATCCCGGGACCTAAGCAGCCTGGTAATGACATAGATGTTTTTCTGGCACCACTTGTAGATGACTTGATATTGTTATGGAATGATGGGGTTGAGATGTATGATGCAGTTACGAAGTGCACATTCAATTTAAAAGCTATTTTGATGTGGACAATACATGACTTTCCTGCCTATGGAAATATATCTGGATTGCCCGTCAAGGGAAAAATTGCATGCCCTATTTTTCGTGAAGATACATATTCAATATGGTTGAAGCATGGTAGGAAGTTTGCATACATGGGACATAGAAGATTTCTCTGCTTTAGCCATCCATTTCGCAAAAATAAAAGGTGGTTTAATGGACATATTGAAAACGGTATTGGGCCGAAGATGAAAAATGGTGAAGAAGATTTTACTGAAGTTGCTAAAATTACAAATGATTGGGGAAAATGTGGTAAGCCAAAGAGGAAGAAGAATACAACTCAATCTCACATTACGTGGAAGAAAAGATCAATATTTTTCAATCTACCATATTGGAAGGTAATTGCTGTAACGTTTCCCTCTTTTTAGTTAATACTTCTACTAGCGTGTAACTGAGCTTTTGTTTTATTTGTAGACTCTACTTGTACGTCACAATTTGGATGTGATGCACGTTGAAAAGAATATTTGTGATAGCATCCTCAGTACACTTTTGGATGTCAAAGGAAAATATAAAGATGACATTAACTCTCGTAAGGACTTAGAAGCTATGAACATTAGGCATGATTTGCATCCTGAGAGTAGAGGAGATAAATTCTACCTACCGGCTGCTCCTCACACTTTATCAAAACCTGAACGAGAAACGTTTTGCAAAAGGCTTGCTAACTTGAGATTACCTGATGGTTATGGATCTAATATTGGAAATTGCATTTCGATGGAAGAATTGAAGATAGTTGGACTGAAGTCTCATGATTGTCACATTTTAATGCAACAATTACTACCAGTTGCGTTGAGAGGGCTTCTACCTAAAGGAGCAAGGAACTCCATTTCGAAGTTGTGTTCATTTTTTAATGCAATATGCCAGAGAGTTGTGGATAGAAATAATGTCGAACAATTAGAGGAGGACGTGATAGAGATTGTACGCAATGAAGAATATGGTAGTGATTTCTTGGTTGTGGGGCGTACAATATCTAAAGGGAAGCCGCTTGTACTGTCTGATGACATGTTGAAAGTTGCTCATCATTATGTGTTGTCAAATAATACAGAAGTTCAACCATATATAGAGTATGTTTATTAAATAACTACTTCAATAAATTCGTAGTTGTATTACCGTATTCATTTTTTGATATATTGTATTTACCTAGGATGCATATGGCTGAACTCAAGAGTTTTGACAAGCGACTAGAAAGAAATGAGACTTTGTTGCATAAGAAACACATTGATTCTTTTGCTACCTGGTTGGATGATAAGGTTGGGATACCAAAAAAATATATATATACACCTCTCAGTTTTATTAGTTATTTTATTTCTAACATTTTCAAAATAAACACAGATTAAATGTCAACTGCTGGTGGACAATGTTTCGAGCAATTTGATGTGGCTTGCACGTGGTCCTAGATGTCAATCCATGTCATACTCTGGATTTGTCATAAACGGTCTTCGATTTCACACTAAAGATGCAGAGAAATCACGTCAAAATAGTGGCATTTTAGTTGAGGCAACAACTATTTGTAGATCCAGTGCAAAAGATAATGCGCATGCAGTTGGGCAAATTATTTATTATGGAGTTTTACGTGATGTTATAATTCTTGATTACAACGCATTTCATGTTCCAATATTCAAGTGTGATTGGGCAAATATCGTGAACGGAATAAGAAGGGAAGATGGATTCACTCTGGTTAACCTTCATGAGGGACTCAAACAATTTGAAAATGATCCTTTCATCTTGGAGACACAAGCAAAACAAGTCTTTTACTCAAGAGAGAATGAAACATCCAGTTGGTATGTCGCTTTACAAGCACCATCAAGAGACTGTTATGGTTCACACATGGAAGAAGATACTACGTATGAGATAACTATTCCACTAGATATATCACAACGAAATATTGATAATCTTGATGATGATGAGAATTATGCAAGGATAGGCGTTGAAGGATTTTTATGTGATCCGTAGAATAGTTTGGTAACTAGCTTATATCCTATTCATTTTTTAACATGTTAACATGTGATATATATAGTATTCATATCGTGCTGAAAAAACTCATTTTGAATTTGTTAAAATCTCTAACCTTTATTTCTTGTGATGTTCCAGATTTGTATTCTACATTTTGGGCAGCTTTCTAATCAACTGACAGTGCATTAAATATATTACGAAATGGACAATTCTGAGGTAATTATGTTTTCTTCAATTTGAGTAAGTTATTTCTTAAGCTTTGATCATAATGACATTTTAATTTTTGTGTTGCATTGTTACAGTCTACCAGGCGAGCTTCCAATAAGTGTAAACAACGGAGAGCTGAAATTGCTATGGCAATTCGAGAGAACAATAAGAAGAAGGTACGGATGTCGAGCGAAGCAGAGAAATCTTTAGCTACTCCAGTTGATGATGAGCAAGACACACCACCGTCAAATGCAACTGTAGAAGTTCTGAAAAAGAAAAGGGGTCCAACGCTAGTGAAAATGATTACTGGAAATAGTCATCAGAAGATGGAACTTGAATTCAACGAATATGGGCAAGTAGTCGGCCATAACTCAGTTAAGTTTGTTAGCATAGTTGGAGCCATGGTACGAGAACATGTCCCTGTTGTAATTAAAGATTGGCATTCGGTTGATGGGAAGAAAAAAATGGAACTTTGGAATTTCGTACAGGTAAATTTGTTAATTATATTGTTGAGATTATTACTATATTTTTTTCAGACTTTAATTTAGTTTTTTATACAAGTACAGCAAAGGTTCGATGTCACTGATTGTTATCAAAAAATAACATTTCAATATATGGAAAAGTATTGGAGGATGTTTAAGTCAAGGTTACGAAAACAAATCAGAACTCAAGTTGAATCTTCTGTAAATAGAGCTCGCAGTACAGCCCTTCTTAGACCGAAGAATATTACATCTGAAGAAGCATGGGAAAAATTTGTCGAGGAAACACTTTCAACCGACTTCCGTGTAAGTATATTTGCATACGAGGCTTCAACTTTTTATAATTACTGTACGTTAATACATTATGATTTCGCAATAGGAAAAAAGTTCAAAGTTTAGCAACATGAGAACATCTCAGAAACTTGTCCATACAATGGGTCGAAAAAGATATCCACGTATTGCCCATGAAATGTTAAAATTACAAACATATCTACTCTTCTTATTTGAATTGTCCTACTCTAGTATATGTAATTACCAAATATTTATTGCAGAGAAAAAAAATCGAAATATAAAGGGATTGAGAGCTAGAGTATGGACTCAAGGCCATCTTAGAAAAGATGGAAAACCGATAAACGAAGCCGTTGCCGACACTGTGGTATGTGTTTTATATTCAATGTTGAACATAGAATAAATTGATTTATTATATGTATCATTTGTTAATATAAATTTTGAGTTCCATGACTACAGAAAAGGATTGAAGCGTGTGCTGAAACAATTTCTGATACGCCAGCAGAAGACTCCATTCGCGATGATGCTGTTGCTCGAGTTTTAGGCCCTGAGCGCTATGGAAGAGTTAGAGGACTTGGATTTGGAGTTGCACCTTGGATTTGGAGTTGCACCATCAAAGGTGGATGTGAGAGTTAGAGAACTTGAAAGTCAACTACAAACTCAATCAGAAAGGATGAGAACATTAGAAGAAAAGGTTGACAAGATGGGAGCGTTAGAAGAAAAGGTTGAAGCACTTCTCAAACTATCTCAACAGGTTATAATTTTTTACCTTTATATATACTACGGTAACAGTACAACAATATAGTCAAGTACATGTAGATTTACTTTTCATAATTTTGTATCATCTTACAGAATATGGAGGATAAGAGTTCACATGCTTTCACTCCTCAGGTTTTTGTATCCTACATTATTATATATTTATATGTTATAAATCCAAATTATATAGAAATCTAATTGAATTTTTTTGGAAATTTTATTTTACTATGAATTGTAGTCACACCAAGGAAATGGTGTTCACGGAGGCACCGCAAATCTGGAAAATGCAAGGTGTCAATTATTACATTGGTATTTTGAGGAGGAAGAAGAAGTTGTTGCGGAAGGAAAGATTGCAACAACAGATCCATTTGCAAAGGTTCATCACTTACCACTTGGACGAGATTGCTGGAAAGTTTGGGTTGAGGAAGTGTACATGAATAGTTTGACATTATATAGACCGACAAATGAACTTCGGACTCTTAGTGAAGCCATAGGAAGTACTGTTGCTTGGCCGAAGAGCAGTATTAGGCTTATTTGACATCATATCTTAAGATTTCACTCGCTTTTTAGATCTCCTTTTTGGTTGATTAGTATCTTTAAAGTTTTTTATGCGGTTGTAGGGTTGGAAACTATCTGATATGATGTTCGCAACTAGGCGTGGCCGAAACGATGCATGTGCTTTTGTAGGAAAACAGATTTTGGATTGATATATAGGTTGTATAGGCTAGAGTTTCATGTATTTGCATTTTGTATGGTTAAAAAATATGTAATGAAATTTTAATCTTATTTCCATTTTGTATTTTCATACAGGTTTTATGTGTACTGAAAAAGACAAATTGAGTTTGTGCACTACTTTTTTCAATTGTTGGTAAATTTGTATTTATGATTCAGCAGTAATCCAGGTGAAAACAGAGAAAATGCAAGAAAAATGGGGAGCCTACGGCAACATTTTTTAGACGTTGCCGTAGTATCAACGGCAACGTTTATCTAACGTTGCCGTCTCTATCAACGGCAACGTTACATAAACGTTGCCGTTGACATGCTGTAGCATCTACAGCAGCGTTTAAAAAACGTTGCCGTAGTATCAACGGCAACGTTTATGTAACGTTGCCGTTGATAGATACGGCAACATTACATAAACGTTGCCGTTGATACTACGGCAACTTTTTTAAACGTTGCCGTAGATGCTACAGCAACGTCTAAAAAACGTTGCCGTAGGCTCCCACTCTATGACAACACTGAGGTTTGCAACATTGGTCTAAACGTTGCAAAAAGTCTTCGGCAACGTTTTTCAAACGTTGCAAAAGACCTTTTTTGTTGTAGTGGAAATTGACGAGGCCACTTCCTCAGTTAGCCAAGAAATTAAAATTCCAGTTCCCGAAGATGAATTTTCCGAAGAAGATCAGCTCGTGGATAGGCGTCGAATAATTAGAGTTCCCCATTTTCTTCGATTCAGAAAGTTACAAGAGGAGGATTAGTACACTCCTAAGATGGTTTCAATTGGCCCTTATCATCATGGCTTACCTGAACTCCGTGCGTCAGAAAAAATCAAGCATATAGTTCTGAAAGAATTGGTTTCAAGCAGCTATGCAGACATCTACAACAAGATTTTTGAAAAAATCGACCAGGTTAGAAATTGTTATGTTGGAATTTCTAAAGATAAATATAACGATAAGTCACTGACTGAAATGATGCTTTTAGACACCTGTTTCCTCATGTATCAAATGAAAGCTTCGTTAGACGTCTTATATTTTCACTTCTTTATAAAACATTTTGGAGTTTCTGCCACAGCTTTGGCATTTCAGGATATATATTTACTCGAGAATCAAATTCCACTGTGGCTGATTAAGAGATTGATCAATTTAATTAACAATGACGAGGAAGAAGAATCAACATTAATTGACAATTTCTTAAGTCGAACTGCTTTTGGCGATGCAAGTCTTAAAAGCATTCCTCGTAAAAAGAATGAGGAACCACTTCATTTACTGGATGCACTTCACGTAGTGCTTGTCAATGGATCGAATAATTCAAGAGAACCTGTCCAACCATCTTCTAAATGCACATGGCTCCACCGATGGCCGTGTATGAGGAAAGAATATCAAAGTAAATTTGGAATGTTCAGTAATCAATTTCGTTCAGTGACTGATCTGAAAGCAAAAGGCATCTACGTAAAACCAAGTTCACATTGTTTGAAGGATATTAACTTCGAATCCTACACATTTTCTGGACAACTTCAACTCCCTATTTGGTATTTCAGTTCAGATTCCAGTCGACTTTTGACAAACATAATTGTGCATGAATTTTCTATGGGAAATATGGAAGGCATGGTTACATTACTTTATGTTAATTTCTTGAAATCACTCGTCGTTGGAGTTGAAGATGTGAGAGAACTACGCGAAAAAAGGATAATATTCAGCAGCTTCGAGACTGATGAACAAGTTTTAAAAGTAATCAAGGAAATTGATACTGGAGGGATTCACAATTTTCCATTTCTTGATGAAGTGAAAAAGAAAATTGACGTTCACTGCAGTAGTAAGGCAAGGACATGGATTGCTGAGTTTATTCACATTTATTTCCGCAGTCCATGGACTCTTATTGCCTTAATCACGGCGATTTTTCTTCTTTGCTTAACTGTTGTCCAGACCTATTACGCAATGCATCCTGCATCTCCCGCTCCTGCACGTTCTTCCCATTAAACCACAAATGTGTGCTATCTTCAGTTCTTTCACCGTTTCTTTTACTTGCATTTCATTGTCTTGTTTCAATTGTATCTTTGTGTGATAAGTGTGATGTTATGACAATGTTTTATTTCATTGACTTATCTAAATTGTGTCTGCGTGATTGTAATTCGAGTGGATCAGTGTGATGTTATGACAATTAATATTTCATATTATATTACCGAGATAGAAAACTACGGTTGTATGTTGTTGAACTTTTTTTTTTAGAATCTGGTGACATGACTATGCTATCAAAATGTTTGTGTCATTGCTCTTCCTTTGAAATGCCATATTATATTTAGGGTAATTATACTCGCACCTTTATTTCTTCTACCACATATGGTTCTTCATATTTATTCATAATAAAACTTATGTCCATAACAATGTTTCGTACCATTCTTATCCTCAAACTTTCAACAATTAACACATTTTAAATTTGATAACAAATTTTATGTTCAAAAATCCGTTGAAATACTGAAAAAACAACTTATTTTCCTGTCATAATTTAAAAAATAAATAAACAAAAGTTCAATTTTATTTTTTTTCCTCATTTCAAAACATGAAAACGAAATATTTTCAGATAAATCATCATCAAGAACAAAACATACTAATTAATAGAAAATTCAAGATAAGAACTCGATGACAAAAAAAGTTAAAGAAATAATTAGCTACAATAAGCAAAAATTAAGGAGCTTAATCGTAATTAATATGTAGTATATCAAATAAAATTTGTGGTGGCAATGTTCATATTTATTACCAAGAAATTTATGTTTTAGTTGCATAATTACAAAGATGGTGAAAATGATGGTTTTTTAAAAGAAATATCCAGTTACTGAGGTTTCTGTTGCCATATTTGATATTCAATACAGGATTAGCGAGGTATAAATCCATAAGAAAAATGATCAAACTGAAAAGGAAACCACGTGCAGGGATTTCGTTATTCCCAATTGATAAACATAATTCTTTCTTTCTTTTTCTTTTTCGTTTTCTTTTTCTTTTTCTTTTTCTTTTTCTTTTTCTTTTTCTTTTAAGGGTCAATAACACAATCTATGGAAGAAAATGAAGAAATCACTCGAAAAAGAGTTGAGAGAACAGAGAGCCTTTTTCAGAAATCAGAACTGAATCTCAGTGCCAAAGGCCAACAAACAAAATGTGTAAAAGAGGCAACAAGTGATCACAGCCATTAATTAAAATAAATGGCTCACAACACAGGAGAAAGAGCACAATATGGGTTTCATCTAATCATCCACTGAGAAGCAGCCACGTGGAATATCACTTAAAAGTGTTGCATCTTTGAAAACACGACTTATCTTCAATCTTCGCCTTGGTTTCAAAATGCACACACTCTCTACAATATGCTTAATGGTGCACTAAAATGGAAGGTCCATTATCGCCACCCTGCCTGCAAAGAAATTACCCTTTATCAACATGTAGCAAAGATATGCAAATTCTGAACTTAACAAAAAAAAGTAATTTAGTATCCATATTCAGCTCCAGTACTGGATAATGTTACTGCTGACTCCAATTGAGATTTCCAGGTTATGCAATTATCGCAAGGTGTAAAATAATATGCCATGGTAGATTTTCTTTAACTTTTATCACCAGCAAAATCAGTATCCATATAACCTTTTAAGATCAATTTATCAAGTCTTTTTTATACACTAATCCTATATTTAAAGCATCAACTATGTATCGTAAAAGCCACTTCAAACCAGCCCAATGTAGTTTGGCAGGATTAAACATAAATCTGTTAAGGAAACTGATATCATAAGCTAGGTCAGGCCTAGTAATAATCATGGAAAACGTTAACAAACCAATTGCATTTGAGTAAGGGACATTATCCATTTTTTCTTTAGTCTTAGTTGATTGTGCAGTCGACACAATAAGTTGGACATTAACAGATTTAGCATGTTTTATTCCAAACTCTCAAATAGGTTTCTTGAGTAAATGTCAATCTATTCTCACATATATCTTCTTAGTTTCACCTACTTAATCTTTTATGTCAAATTCAGATTTTAAAAGGCTTTTCAATCTTATGACTTTCCTTTATTTGGACTAGCTAAAAAGATGTCATCCACATACAATAGTAAGTAGCCTTCGAAGCCGGATCTCATGTTATTATAGTCCGAACAAATATTACAGTCACTCCTTTTAAAACCAATTTTAAGGATATATGAATCAAACCTCTTGTACAACAGCCTAGGAATTTGTTTTGCCCATAAGAGTGATTTTCCAATTTACAAACAAAATCAATTTTATTCTTCACCTCAAAAACTTGAGGTTGACTCGTTTAAATATTCTCCTCCAATTCCCCATGAAAGAATGCAGTCTTTAACATCTAGTTGTTCAAATTTTCAATTAAATTGAACAACTAATGCAAGATGGATTAATTCCTTCTTTCGGTTTATGGATTATTCTTTGGTTCTTAGTTCTTATAACCAATGTTTAAGTTTTGTATTCGATTAAAGATTGCATTTCCTCTTTCATAGCCAATTTCCAATTTTCTAATTTTAATCCATTTATGACCTCTTCAAAAGAGGAAGGCTCTTTATGCTCTATGGCCTCTCCAAAGATAGAGGCAAAATCATTCAAATTTTGAGACTCATACCTAAGATCCAGTCATCTCATCTCTCTATCCCTAACATGCTAATAGTCTTCAATCGAGATAGTTTCAATGTTAGGGATGTTTTCTTCTGCTTCAGCTCCTCCAAGAGGATTATTAGCTTCTTCAATCACAGGTTCATTCTCATTATCTCCCTTTTGCAAAACAACAAGTTCATTCTCTTCAAATTGAGTAAAGTCATCTTTTGTTAACTTCACCTCATTCTGAAATTTCTTATCAATATCATCGTTCTGTTTTAGACATGGCATCTCAAATTCATTAAACACAACATTCCTGCCATTAATGATCTTAATTAACTTGCACCCCTAAAACCCTCAACATGTAACCTTTAACCTTGCAGGATTGCCTAACATAACACATTTTGTAGCTCTTAGCTCCAACTTACACTAAACTTGGTGTGCATAAGCAACACAACCAAATGTCCTTATATGTGCTAAATTTAGGGGCTTTCTAGTCCTAGTTTATGCAGAGTCTTGTACTCAACAGAACTAGATGGAGATCTATTGATCAAATAGGCAGCATTGCACACTACCTTAGCCCAAAACCCTTTAACCAATCTAGGGTTGATCAACATGCACCGACATTGTTCATTAAGGTCCTTTTCATTCTTTCTATTGGAGTGTGTACTTAACTGTCCCGTGTCCCATGATTCACTTTTGCTTACAAAAGTTAACAAATTTCAAGTTGCAAAACTCAAGACCATTATTTATTCTCAAACTTTTTAACTGCTTATCTAATTGATTTTCAACAATTTTAAGTCAAGTCCGAAATTTATGAGAAGTTTCAAATTTAGCCTTTAAAGGATAAAATCATACTTTTCTAGAATAATCAACTATGAAAGACGGAACCCGCTTATTTCCACCAAAGGTGATATGCTTTTTTTGTAATGTCTTGAATTTTTATCATTAATCATTAGATTAAAAATCAGGATTTAAATGCGCTATTAAATGACCTTGTTAATTACTAGCCAATGGTTTTAGGACCTAAGTAAAGAGTTAATTTGGAAGTTAAATGAAATTATATGTAAATATGTCAATTAGTCATGATTAAAAATGATTTATTTGACCACATACATTATTCACCACATTTTAAACAAAGTAATTGCTTTGATCACATAAATAAAGATAATTGATTTGACCACATGCATTATTTACACCAAAATTCAAAGCAAGTCAATTGATTTGATCACATGGCTAAATGTATTGATTTGACAACTTTCAAGGCAATGCACATATTATGCTTTGACCATACCTAACATCTGGTCATTTCCTTTCAACTTTATACTTATAGTCCAAGATCTTGCACTATAAATAAAAGTTAAACTTAACATTGGACTATCCCTCACCAAGTATTTACACTCTTTTTTTCTATCTCTATCACTTTGCCTCTGCACCTTTATTCTTTCTCGTCTTTTTCATATTAAATATAGTCATATATTTACACAATTACACAACCCGACATGCGACTCAAGGATCTCCCTCTAACAATCACTTCTATCATTTTTGAATTGTCAAGTGAAAAGTAAGTGTAGCAGTACAAATTGTTCTTTCATTATTTAAATTACTGAAATTCATGTTATGAATATGATGATACAGAAATCTAAGTTATGACTATGATAAGGGTCCCATAGATGTAAGTTCAAAGGATCGGAGTTTAGCTACGCTACGCACAAAAATATAGCCACGAAGTTCGGATTTTAATTCTTATGTCTCCATATGTATGTTATGATTTTCCGTAATTAAATATGAAATGCAAATTCGTTATTACTCATTTACTGAGATTTGTCTCATATGTATATGTTAAATATTTCATAGGTAACTAAAAGAGATAAGTTCGAGGCAAACGAATGTAAATTATGCTTGCATGGTTGAAAATGAAGAACGATTTAAGTAGTTAAATATTTTAATGATGTTCATTTTTTTTTTAAATTATTTTAATTCTTTCAGGTTCAGAAAATATTATGTTCTTTTTCATTATTTATAAAAGTATTATTTTACGGTACATGTATATTGATTCCAAAGGAAAAATTTGGATTGTTACAACATGGTATCAAGGCGAGTCTACATATCTATAGACATTTTTTTAAGGAAAAAAGGGGATTTAAAGTTTATTATATCGCTGCCACTTTTCAATGTCCGATACAATCGAATCAGGTAAAAAAAAATGTAAATGCATTAATATTTAATGTTATGATCATATAATGATGATTATATTATAATCACGTTCATTATGCTTACATATGTTTAGAACGTGTTAGTTTATGAGAAATTAAACATGTTTATACACGATTATATGAATGAATATGTGCAAAATTATATTTAAGCAAATTAAAATTTTGTTTATGAAAATGTGCTTATTTACGTACAAATTTCTCTTAAATGTACCTTATTAGGGAAATTTTCTAAACTCTTGGATAGTGTAGATTTATGAATGTTTAAACTTCAAAAAATAAATAAATAAATAAATAAATAAATCAAGTTATGAAATTCACAATTTTATGATATTATGTAACTTTAGACTATTAAGTGCGTTACGGAATATATTAGAATAGTTGACCTTAGAAAGTCTCTCGATCAAATAATAGTCAAACGTGGAAAATCATACCTCGAAATATCTTCATTTTCTGCTTATTGTTTAAGTTTTCTTGGTTTGCATATTCGAAAAACTAAAAAACTTTGTCAAAAGGACGTAAAATGTCTTAAGAGAACTTAGAATTTAAGTGGTCCAATTGTGATTCCTCTCCTCACCAGGAAGCCACTCAGACGAGCGTTATTCAAGCTAATAAAACGAAAACAATATTGTATACTCACTCTAAATTTAAGAAGATTTCCAAACTTTATTCTTCTAAATTAGTATTTTACAAAATTTCTACAAAATATGAAAAAAAAAATTCATCATTTAACTTTTTGTTTATCTTATAATATTTTATTAAGGTTATGACATCCCAAGGTAGAAGAGCAAATAACAATGACGAACAACCCCAACCTAGTGGCATTGACCCACTGTTTGCTCAACAATTTCTAGCTATGTTGAGCACGTTCATCCAAGCAATAGTGCGACAGCAAACACCACCACAACAACCAACACCATCACAATCGTCGCCACCTCAGTCCCAGGCACCAGTAGCGACTAAGAACAACAAAAATATTGCTGTGGTTGTCCTAGAACTTTTCAAAAAGCAGCATCCCCCAACATTCGAAGGTAATATCGACCCATTGGAGGCAGAGGATTGGCTAATGGGAATAGAAAGAATTTTTGAGCTCATTGACTGTCGGGATAGTAAGAAGGTTATCTGCGCAACATTTATGCTTAAGAAAGGTACTATGCATATTGGTGGGACTCAACCTCAAGGTTAAGGGCTCGCGGACATATCTTGACATGGAATGAATTCAAAGAACAATTCTTGAAGAAGTACTATCCCACAAGCATACACTATCAGAAAGAAAGGTTCATCAACTTGGTTCAGGGCTCGATGTCCTTAACTGAGCATGAGAGGAAATTTAAGGAATTATCCCGTTATGCCCCTAACTTGGTGGACACGGAAGAGGACATTTTGAAGAAGGG